CTGGTTCCACCAAGAGAACCAGGTATTGAAAGGGCAGGCAATTGCCAATGCACAGGCCTGGAGATAAGATAGTCTGTCTTTCTGGGCCCTGTTTCTACACTGGCTGTATAGTGTGAACAAATAGATTCAGCTCCCTTTTTCAGACAGGTCTGGTTGGGGGGAGCAAAGCCCCTCTCACACTAGGCCAGACTGAGGGAGGCCAAGAAGGAAAGAAAAAGGAGGAGGGAGGAGGGAGGAGGGAGGAGGGAGGAGGGAAGGAAGAAGAGGCAGCAGGATGGAGGGGGAGGAAAGAAGACAGGGAGGATGGATGAGAAGGAAAGGGGAGATGGGAGGAGAAGAAAGAGAGTGAAAAGGAAGAGGAAATGGGGAGAGAAGGGAGGAAGAAGAAGGGGAAGTGGGAGGGAGGAGAGGGGGAAAGGAGAAGGAGGTAGAGGAAGAAGGACCAGAGAGGCGAGGACAAGGAGGGGGTAGAAAGAGAAGGACCAGAGAGGAGAGAACAAGAAGGGGGTAGAGAGAGAAGGACCAGAGAGGAGAGGACAAGGAGGGGGTAGAGGGAGAAGGAAAGGAGAAAGTGGAGAGGAAGCTGAAAGAGATGAGCAGGAGGGGATGCGGAAGAGGAGGGGAAATCAGGGCCCTGGTTCAGTCTGCACTCTCTAGATCTAAGCAGAGAGCCCCAGATTCAAGAGCCCCTGCCCACTCCAGGAATGTCACAAAAGTATCACCACGGGCACCAGTTAGGACTGAAATGCAGGTGTGTTGACTTCGGTCACATCTCTCACTGCACACAAGTGTGCATCGCCAAGGGTTCACCTGGCCAGCATGCACGGGGGGCGGGGGGGGGGGGGGAGCGGGGGGATACTTGGGAACAGACAGATTTTTTTTCCATTTTCAAAAGTATGGTATGTTTTTTTTCTTTTCCTTTCTTCCTTTCTGCCTTGCCTTCCTTTCTTTCTCTCGCTCTTTCCCTCTCTCTCCCTTCCTTTATTTTCTTCCTTTCTTTCTTTTACATCCTGACTGCAGTTTCCCCTCCCTCCTCTCCTCCCAGTCCCTCCCCCACCCTCCCCTCTGCCCCATTCCCATCTTCTCCTCCCATTTCTAGTCAGAAAAGGCCAGACCTCCCACGGATGTGAATAAAGCATGGTATATCAAATTGCAGTAAGAATAAGCACCTTCTTTTGTATTAAGCCTGGGCAAGGCAATCCAGTATAAGGAATAGGGTCCCAAAAGCCAGTAAAAGACTCAGAGACAGCCCCTGCTCCCACTGTTAGGAGCCCCACAAAAAGACCAAGCTACACAACTGTAACATACATACAGAGGGCCTAGGTCAGTCCCATGCAGGCTCCCTGGGTGTCAGTTGTCTCTGTGAGCCCAGGTCAGTTGATTCTGTGGGTTTTCTTGTGGTGTCCTTGACATCTCTGACTCCTGCTATCCTTTCTCCACCTTGAGAACAGATAGATTCCAGTCCCACCCAAGGACTACAGCCACATTTTTTCTCTCTCTCCTCCAATAGATAAACCACAGGATTTCTGCTCTATGTCTATTTTCAGGGCCCCTAGAACATTCAAACCTGGTTAGCTCCTTCCTCAAGCCTACAGGCCTACAAGAACATCATCGAACTAGGTTGTAGAGGCCAGAGCATGTATCAGCTGATATATGGAAGGTAGTTGATGTGATAAACACCACAACCAAAAGCAATTCAGGGAGGGAGAGGTTTATTTCACCTCACTGGTTACCGTCCATTACTGATGGAAGTCAGGACAGGAACTCAAGACAGGAACCTGGAGGCAGGAACTGAAGCAGAGGAGACCATGGAGGAACACCGCATACTAGCTTGCTCCCCATGGCTTGCTCAGAACTACCTTTCTTATACAGCCCATGGGGTGTGTCCCTTTCTTTTACCTGCCCAGGGGTGGCACTAACCACAGTGGGCCGGGTCCTCCCACATCAATCATTAATTCAGAAAATGCCTCACAGGCTTGCCTGCCAGCCACTCTAATGGGGATATTTTCTCAGTTGAGGTTCCCTTTTCCCATGTTAAGTTGACAAAATGCTAAGACAGAAGGCCACAGCAACAATGGAGAAAGTGACCCAGGCACTGGTGAGAGCCTCACAATGTCCACCCGAAGACCAAGCATAGCGCATCCTGACAATCAAGGACACATTGAGACTTCTCCTAGGAGTAAATACAGAGCAGTGTCAACAGAGGGGGTGGTGTCAGGAGGTGGAGGCAGGGGACAGTGGGCTGACTCTCAGAAGATAATTGGATCCACCACTGGTGAGGCCTTGAGGCAGGGTGGGAGCCGTGCTGCATAGAGCTGCGAGAGCCGAGGCAGACAGGAGCTGAAGTGTAGCCTAAGGGGCTCAGAATTGCCCACAAGAGGTAGGAGACTGTCCCACTGTGGCTGCTTCTACAACCTCTTCGTCAACTTCCACACCAAGAGCCAGGTCTATGTGTGTTTGTTACACCTGGTTGAGAATTTAAGAATCATAATATCACATTTGCAGAGCTGCACGTCATGCTTTTCAATTTTGTTTCCAGTTGAATATTGTCTTCCCGAAAGCATTCTCCCTCACAGACTGACATTAAGCAGGAGTGACGGAGAGCTTTTAGACTTCCTTCCTGCTGTACCCATTCTGCCTGTGCTCTGCAGCTACCTGCCCAGGCAACAGGGCCCAAGAAGACTGCTCAGAAATGGGCATCTCTATCACCAGAGGCCACAAGCCCACCTGAAGAAACAGCTCCTGGGAACAGTGTTTTTTAAGTTGTATCCCATACTCATTGTATACACTCCGCATCCCACCACTTGGTGACAAATCCTTCAGAAAATAACCCCATGTTGGTCCAGGGCCACTGGGTAGCCAGTGAGCCTCCAAGAGGCAGGCCAAAAGCTTGGTCAGTAAGCACTCTACATTAACTCTGTTTGGCAGGATGTGGGAGCCGTGGGCACTAAAGGTTCCCTCAGAGACCAGGGCTCAGGCTGCAGAGCTGAGCCAGTGGGGACAAATCTGTCACCCCAGCAAGTGGCCAGGCTACCTCAGAGACAAGAGTGCAGTGGCCTATCACACACACTCAGTTTTGTCATGACATTCTCAGGATTGATGTTCATTGGCAGAGAAAGTGGTACAGGAAACATAGACGCCACAGCCGCCCAAATCTCGGTCAAACCTCCTTCTCTTCACAGACTATTTTGAAACAAACCCCAGACATTTCATCACTGTCTATAAATACTCATCATGATAGCAGAAAGGTAACGGCTATTTTGTAAACACAGCCGTGATGGCACTACCCAACACTCAAACTGCCAGAAAGTTCCTTTGTAATCAAGCGTGAAGCTTGCTTCGGGCTGTCTAGACTGCCCTAACCTTTGCCCCTACATCTGGAAGTGGACACATTGTCCAGGATCCTCTGGCCAAGTCCCTTTAGCTTTCATTTTCTGCTGGAGAACCAGGCTAATCGGTCTTGCTGGCACCCCATCTTGGCATTGCAGTGACCTCTCGGCCTTGCCCTCCGACCCTGGTTTCACAGTGCCATTCCATTCCTCTACACCAGTCACTGTTTCTTGGATGTTTTTTTTTTTCCTGGACAGATTTGGAGACATGAGACCTCAAGCACTGGACATTGCAGTGGGGGCAAGAAAGGAAGGGAGGGATTCAAGGACCTCAGATAAGGACTCATCGATTTGGGGATACTTGACGTCTCCTGGGAACATAACTACTGCGGGCCGCAAAGTGAGCAATGGGGAGGTAAATGCATCCTGGTCTGGTCCCGCTGGAGAAAGGTACAGAAGGGTGAGCCCAGGATCGAGGAACTGGGTCCTAGGAGGTAACGGGAATAGGGCCTGAGCTGGTCCATCTAAACTCTTTGCAAACTCTGTGTGAACTCGGAGCTGAGTGGCCATCCTGGAGCATAGAAGTTGCTCGGGGAACCCCATCAGATGTTGAGAGCTCCAGGATGTCGGGGGCAGCTATTCATTCACACCAAGTCCTCAAACTTAAAATGTTGTTTAGGGACATTTTCCCAGTAAGAGACACTTGTAATGCATTGCTCGGGGGCTATGGCAAAGGAGAGCTCCAGGGTGGGCTGGGCTTGTGTAGAGTGGATCTTCAGAGATTTGTTTCCTGCACAATCAGATCACCTCAGCCTAAATATACGGGTGAATCAAGTGTCACCACAGCTCCAGGAACTCATCAAATATCCAAGAGTCCCCTTGATTCCCCATTTCTCCCAAGAATGGGATGGGTCCTCAGAGCTCTGATTCTGCACTCACCTGGAGGAATGTGGTAAGGGACCTGCTCTTGGAGTCACAGAAGGTCTGTAGTAATAGCAGGGAGCAGGCTGTGACCCCTGCCCAAGACTCTCAGCAGAAGCCTCCAGCAACTGTCCTCTGTGACCAACACTTTATCAAAAGCACTGTGCACTGCCCTGCCCAGACCCAGCCAGCCTCATCTACCCTCCTCAGATAAAGGTAGGGAGCTAGCAGGAGCCACCCACCACAGCATGGCCCTTTGGGGTGATGATGCCTCAGGTGCTGGAGGAGGAAGGGCAAGTGCAGCCCCTTTCCTCCCACCTGCCAATAGCTCAGATGATGAGGGTGAGGGACACAGGAGCGCCTCTGACTCCTCACCCCCCACCCCTGCCTTCTCATCCCTACTGCCACTGCCCACTTCCCTTCCTTGAGCTCAGCAGCGGTTCCTGGTGTCTAGGTTCCTGGGGACCCTGCTGCTGGGGCACCAGCTCACCAAGATCAAGAAGGAGGAGAGTACACAAGACTGTGGCTGCACCTTCTCTCCCAGCAGCTCCATCACTCACCACAGCTTTCTTGGTGCTCACTGGAAAAACTGTTGAACATATGGTGTGACCGGTCAAATATTTGGAGTTTGTGAGATGTGTTTTAAAATTAATGAGGATTTTAACTTTTATTAACTTCTAAACTTCAAAATACACCAACTTAGGGGGAAAAAAAAGAGTTCCCAGTCATGTGAAGCCAGCTCACACTGACCTGTTTTCTGCCCTGTAGTCCTTGGAATTTCACTGAGCTCCCATCCTTCACTGTGACAAGACACCCTAAGGTATCAACTTAGAGGAGGAAGAGTCCATCGGGCTCCTGGTTGCAGAGGTTTCAGTCCATGGCCACTAGAGTTCACTGTCTCTGAGTCTGTGGGAGACAGATAACGGTAAGGAGAGCAGCGCAAAATAGCCCCATAGCAAAGAAGCAGGAGCAGAAGGAAAGAGGGAAGAGAGAGGAGAAGGGGCTGGGAATAAGCCACACCCATGGGTACCTTCTCTTTTTTCCAGGATCCACCCCCATGTTTCTACCACCTCCCAACGTACCAGCCAATGATGACCTTATCAGTGGATCTGTCCATCAGTAAGGTCAGAACATTCAGAATCCAGTCCCCGCCCCATCCCCAGACATCCCACCTTTGACCATGGGAACCATGCCCCCATGCGCAAGCCCTTGGGCACATTTCAGATCCGAACCCCTGCACACACTGCACCTTGGTTTGGTTCCATTAGCGCACTCTACCAGTCCTGCCTCTAGGGTGGGAGCACCAATGGCTTCTCTTACAGTGTGGCAACCGCACGGCTCCTAAGAAAGCTGGATCTCTTAGGGAGAGTTTGGTATTGCTCCACCTCTACCGTCACCCCCCATGGCACCCTACAGGGTGTCCCCATCCAGTGGGACATCCCTCCTCAGTCCTGCCTTGCCACCTTCATGGCTGTCCCTACTGGTAGGTCCCGCCATTCTGTCCCCCAAGCCCTACCTCTGACCACTCCCACACTGTTGGAACCTCCTGCACAAGCGAGGGGTGCTGCTTCTGCTCCCGTGACATTTACTTTCCCCTTATTTCTTGACTTTTTGCCTGGAATTAGTTTAATTGTTTTTCCTGTCCCACTTTGTAGCATGGGCAAATACTAGAGTGAACTCAATCACCAAAATAAGAAGTTAACTGAAGAAAAAAAAAAACTAAATGTCTCCACTATAAATTTCTCATTTTTATTGTTTAAGCTACTTTTATTGGGTTTTTAACATGGCAGTGAACAGGAAGAAAGTAATATCTGAAAATATGGCAGCAGAGCATGGGGTGAGCAATCATCATCCACCAACTGACCAGCCATGACTGTACAGACATGGTCAGTGCAGAGGACTCCCATGCTGGCACAGTTTTAAACACACACACACACACACACACACACACACACACACACACACACACACACTCAAACCCATAAGTTCTTCTATTCACACTCACATACATTCACACCTATATGCTCACACACTCATGCATACTCGCACACACTCACACAAACACATACACATGCATACTAACATCCACACTCATAGCCACATGATTCACCTCCATACACGCACATTCCCATGTTAACACCCACACGCATTCATTCACACCTGATGGCACACACATATGAGCATACTCTCACACATGCTTGCACACTCAGATACGTTCCCATACTCCTAATAACACCCGACTACACATAATCCGGCCTGCATGTTTATGAATGTTCATGCACAAATGGTGCACACTCATACTAGTACACTCACACTCACATGCTCACATGACTCACATATACACACACTCAAATCTGCACTCTTAAGCACATTCACACACACACACACAAGTATATTTATGTCCTCACAATATGTGTGAAAACACACATACACGCTCACTGTGATGACTAGTTTTATGTCACAAGCTAGAGTCATTTTGAAAAAAGGAACCTCAATTGAGAAGATGCCCTTACCCGACTGGTCTGTGGACAAGGCTGTGGTGCATTTCCCTGACTAAAGATTGATGTGGAAGGGCCCAGATCACTGTGGGAAGTGCCATCCCTGGGCTGGTGTTCTGGGGTGCCATAAGAAAGCAGGCTGAGCAAACCACAAGGACCAAGCCACTAAGCAGCACTCTTACAGGGCCTCTGCTCCACTTACTGCCTTCAGGCTCCCGCCCTGAGTTTTTGCCCTGGCTTCACTCAGTGATGGACCCATAAGCTGTAAGGTGAAATATACTGTTTCTTCCCAAAGACGCTTTTTGGTCACAGTGTTTTATCATGGCATTAGAAATCTTAACTAAGAAATGAGTACCAGGAGTGGAGTATTGCTGTGACAGACCTGACCGTGTTTGGGGGAAGACTGTGGTAGCATCTGAACTTGGAGCTGTAAAAGCCGTTTAGTGTTCAGCACCCAGTGGGCTTTTCTGTGGCATCTTGGAAGAATATTGAGACATATGCAGACAATGGGGACCCAGCTTGTGTCATTTCGGAGGGAAGATTTGAAGGCCTCTTAAATAAGACTCCACCAGGGCCATGTGTGTGATGTTTTAAGAATCTGTGTGTCTAGTCCGTTGGAGCTGAAGAATCTGCTGTGATTACCAAGAGACTAGCACCATGGGAGTAAAACCTTAACTTTCCTAGGGCAATTGATACTGATCAGCTGAGACTGGGGAATTACTACAACTGAGAAGAGACCAGCTTCATTGAGGTAAAACCATCTGATAGTATTTCCTCAGGCTCAGCACACAGAACCTGTGGTCTAGGGTAGTCACGGCTGCATTTCATGGGGGCAGCTGAAGTTGGTAGTCACTAGATACTGGTTTTGAAGGCATGAAGGGGTCATGGAGAAGAGCTGAGGGTTGGCACTGTGTGGCAGGCTTAGAGTCCCCAAAGACATTCCAGGAGATGTTATTAGTGAAAGTGCGTCCCAATTGCAGCAGGAGACTCCAGCATTGCGGAGCTGTCTATAGCACAGAATGACTGCTCAGGACAGCAGCAGCAGTAGCCATGGAGTGGAGCTAGCCTGAGCTACAGAACAAGCTGTGTATGCTTCAGGTAACAGACTTGAGAAGTGGAGCTAGCTATCCAGGCCATGGGAGCCTAGATGATTGTGAGTGAATGCCAGACATGGGATACTGGGTTATTTACACTGTTAGAGTCTGACTTTGCTTTGTTCAGATTGAGATTGTATCCTGTTTCTTCCTTCTTGGAATAAGAAAGTATTTAACTTATTTTTTATTTTATTTATAGGGGTCGATTGGGATTTTTGAAGAGATTTTGGAGTTTTAGAGACTATGAATATTTTAGAGACTTGAGATATCTTGGGGAGGCTTTGAACACTGAAAGTGCCTGGGTATTTTAAAGGAACTGTGCTTTAAAGGACAGTCACAATCATTTGTGTTTTCTATTGTGATAGTGATATTAACATGCCGTCTTGGAGACAAACAAGAAAGGAAGGGTTCTAGTGGAATAGTTATTTCTCTGGGTGTCAAGTTGACAAGGGATCAATTGTACTGGCTAGTTTTATGTCAACTTGACACAAGCTAGAGTCGGTTTGGAAAAGGGAACTTCAATCGAGAAAATACCACCACCAAATTAGCCTGTGGGCAAGCCCATGGTACATTTTCTTGATTAATGATTGATTTGGAAGGGCCTAGATCACTGTGGGTGATGCTGCCACTGGGCTGGTGATTCTCGGTGCCATAAGAAAGCCAAGTCAGCAAGCCACAATAAGCAGCACTCCTAGAGGCCTTCTGCTCCAGTTCCTGCCTCCACGTTCCTGTCCTGAGTTCTTGCCCTGGCTTCACTCGGTGACAGATCTGTAAGTGATAAAGGTGAAATAAAGCCTTTCTTTCCTCCCCAAGTTGCTTCTTGACATGGTGTTTTATCACAGCAATAGAAACTCTAACCAAGACACTCACATTCACACTAACATGTACATACACACTCATATACATTCATACTAACGTGTACATACACACTCATATACATTCATATTTATATGTTTGTACACATTCATGTTCATTTACATTCCCACTCACACATCACACACTCCTATATGCTCATACACATTCACACCCACACACTCATATGCACACTTGTGCATATTCACACTCTAACATTCACTCACACATTTATTCACATTTACATGATTACATACATTCACACACACATTCTCATGCACATTCAAACACATTTGTGCATGTTCAAACACACATTTGTGCATGTTCATACTCCCACAACCACACAATTCACACTAACATGTTTGCACAAACCCACATTTGCATGCTTACGCACATTTGCACTTGCTTGCTCATCCACATTCACACTCATGCATTCACATACATCTGTATTTGCACATATGAATATACATCCACACTTATACTCACCTATTCACAACTATATACATTCATATACTTACACACATCCACCTGAGCTTGCAAGTTTTCACACTAACAAGCTCACATGTTTGTGCGCAGTAGCGTACTGGCACACCCACAAACTGGCTTGTGTGTTCAGGAGCTCACTTGTATTCAGGTGCACTTGTACACACTTGGACTCTGAGACACATTTGCACACACTTTCACACTCAATCATTTGAGCACACATTTTCTTAAACACATTTACACAGTCTGCTCATACATTCTGGCTTCTTCATTTTCACACATACTAACACACATATTCACACACAGTACTCATGGTGTCTGTGAGGAGAGCTTACAGAGCAGAAGTACTGCCCTACATAGTGTGATTTGCTGGCCGCTCCCCAGAGTGGGTATTCAACTGCCTCCAACCCATCCCTGAGCTGGATATTTAAGATCTTCCAAACTTCTGCTCTCACCAAGAGCTCAAAGCACGAATGACTGCCTGGAAAATTATTAGATATTTAAAAATATAATGATATTTTTAGGCTTAAAGATATTTCTGAAACAGAGAAAGAATTATTTTACAATGTAAAGAAGTAGACGACTGCCCTGGGTTGTGCCAAAATTGCTAATACTAGGAAAACCAGTGACTCAGAAACATTAATTTTTAAATAAATAATTACTTTAACAAAATTGCCAGGTGGAGCAACTTGCTTTCCACCACAGCTAATTTAGTTAAATTGCTCTGGCCCAACTGCCAGAGGACACAGCAGGAGCCCCCCCCCCTTCCCGGGATAGGCAAGCAGATAGCAAATACCTGTCACACTGATGAACAGTCCAGGTAGGGTTTGGCCAGCAGCACCCAGAATGCTTAGAGGATGGAGGCTTCGGGCTCCAGGCTCCAGCTATAGTCTAGCTGCTAAATGGAAGGTCTGCGACAGGAAGAGGACCTTGGGCATCAGACAGTCTAGTCAGCACCATGGACAGTTCCTGAGCACCC